CCCCCCCAGCACCCGCCAAAGGCACAAGCCAGGGAGGCGCAACAAGGGCAGGGGCAACCCACCACCCAAGCAGGAACCGGCACTCCACGATGACATTCAGGGAGGCAACCGTCCCTCGAGACACCCTTCACAGAACACACACATCGCACACTGGTGTGGGCCCCACGGACACGCCCTGTGCACACCTGCAGCCCTGGGCCTCGCACCTGCTTTCAGACCCCCTCACAGCCACGGCCTCTCAGGGACCCCAGTTCCCCATATTTGGGGATCACCTTTTCACCCTGAGACCTCAGATACCTTCCATCCAGTCTCTGGCCTGGGGAGGGACCTGTCTGCCCAGCAGCGTGACTCCCTGCAAGCAGAGCCAGAACTTGGGGAGACCCAGTTGGGGGTAGGGAGGGCAGGTGGAGTATTACAATGGGGGTTGGCCCTGTCCCCCATCCTCCCTCGTGGTGACCCTGAGCCCCCCAGGGTTCCAACAGGGCCTTTTTCACTGGTACATTTCCGCTCAGGGCTGGCCATCTGCCAGGCTGGGCTCCGGGGAGTGGCATGGCTGCAGGAAGGCTGGAAAATTCCTGCTCCCCCAGACTCAGGCTGCCTGTGACACTGGTCCCCTACCACCTAACTGTGGGCAGCCAGAGCCCAGGCCTTGCCACCCAGACCCTATGGTTGGGCACTGGCAGCCCCAGGGCCAGGCCAGTGAGGGCGGTGGACACTGGGTCGACACGGGGGGAAGAGGTGGCAGGAAAGTCGCTGCTCTTTTCTCCCAGAGTGCTCCCACCTCAGAGCCTCTGTGCGCTGCAGAGTGGCTCCTTGGTCCCCTTTGCCAATGAGGAAACTGAATCCCCCAGAGGCTGTGCGCCGTGTGATCTGTGAGGAGCTAGAGTCCTGCCATCCCCAAGGTGTCCTGCCACAAAGCCCTCAGCCGCGCACAGGAGTGGCCTCGGAAGCTGCTCTCAACAGAGCCACTTGGTGGGGAGACGGCAGCCCAGAGAGGTCCAGCTCTTTGTCAAGGTCACACAATACTGAGTGTTGGAGTCAGTATTCAAACCCAGCACCTCCACTGCACGCACTGCAGGCAGGGGGCCTCCCAGGGTGCTTGGGGCAGAGTGCGGTCTGGGGGACCCTGCCTGCAGCATACAGGGTACTTCAGAGGCAGGATAATCAGGGCAGGGCCGGGGAGGGAGAAGGACCTATTAGGAGAAGGTGGAATTCGAGGGAACATGGAACCCCACAAGCAGAACGGGGATCTGTGGGAGCAGGAAGCCTACAAGTTTCCCTCCAGGGCAGGCGGACCCCAGGGAAGACCCAGGAAGGCTGAGGCCAGGCAGGGCCAGCGGGGGAGGTGGGCAGTGGGGCTCTCTGGCCATGTGGAAGCCAGGTAGGGCCAGCCCCAGGCGGGCTCAGTGACTGTTAATCTGCTGGTGGCTCAGGGAGCACTGTTATGGCTCTAGTCCCAGTGTGGGGGTCTGAGGAGGTGGGGCCAGGGAGTGATCGGGTGGTGAGGGTGGAGTCCCCCGAATGAGTAGAGTGCCCTCTGAAGGGGGCGGCCATCTGGCTGGCCAAGAGAAGACCCAGCAAGAAGCCAGATGTCCCAAGGGGACGCTCACCAGAGCCTGCCGTGTGGGCCCTGATCTCAGACGTCAGTCGCCAGACTGTGAAGAATAAATTTCTGTTGCTTGGAGGCCACCGGGCTGTGCCACGGCCACTGCAGTGGACGAAGACAAGCATGGCTGTCCCCCATGAACTCGTGAGGGGCCCTGGGCTGGCAGCCGGTGCAGGCAGCTGGCCTGCCCTCAGGAGCCTGCGGTCAGCTGGGGACATGCACTCCGGTAGTCCACGCACGGGGGCGCTATGGCAGGAAGCCTGTGGCTTTGAGAGACCAGAGGGGTCCCAACCCTCCTGCCAGCAGCAGGGTGGGACACTGTCTGAGCCAGACCCAGGGAGGAGATCATCCTGTCACAGCTCGGGGTGGTAGGTTTGTTGACAGGCAGGGGACAGGCTGGTGTCTCCCCAGCTGGGACCGAAGCACACTCAGTCCCCCTCTGCCTCTCTGGGTCTTTCTGTCATGACCTCCCAAATATGCCCTGAGTGGCAGATGGCCTGCAGCTTGCAGGGGCTCCTGTGGGAGGGGATGGAACTCCTCCGTGCAGACCCGGGTCACCGCCTCCAGGCAGCCCATCCGTACAAGTGACCCATTTCATTTCACTTCTGGACCATTTGGGCCCTTCAGAGCCAGCCTTGGGTGCTGCGGGGTCGCCGGAATCAGGGCTCAGGACCCCAGGTGGCGCTGGGGCACTGGAACTCTTCTGGGCAGTGAGCCTTGGCTGTGAGGAGCAGCTGTCTGTCCCCCCACCATGGAGCTGGAGGACCCCCAAGGACTCCCCTGCTAAGGTTCTCCTAGCTGTGGGACTTCGGAGAGGACCTCAACTCCCAGGAGGCCCCCTGCTGGGCTCTGAGCAGACTTCCAGCTCTGGGGACTGAAGATCCAGTGACCCCCTTCCTGCAGGGACCTCCTGGACCAGAAGCACACTGTCCAGAGGGAGCCTCTCCACAGGAGGGATGGGAACAGGTGGCCCCATGTTAATCAGGAAAACTGGGAATCCACAAGGGCAAGATGGACCAGGCCTGCTCACCCAGTGCTCAGGGTCCAGCAGAAATCACCAAGGAGCCGCGAAGAAGGCCCGAGAAGGTGCAACGCACACACTCCCAGGCCAAGAGCTTACCTCCCCTTCAAAGAGGGCACAACTCTGGGAAGTAGACACTAACCCTGCAGATGGAGAAACCAAGGCACAGAGAGGTTAAACAGCTTGACCAGTGTCACACAGCTGAGCTCCCACGAGGCTAAAGTGTCCTTCTCCCGGAAGCCAGTCTAAATCTCCGGAGGGCAAGCCCAGGCGGTTTCTCTGGGCAGGCTCTGCCCGCTCCTCACCTGCACCCCTTCCTTCCTCACTCCTTCCAGAAGGCAATCTTTGAGCACCACTGTATCTGGGCTGAGAGCGAGGCAGTGGGTTCCTGTCCCAGGCGCTGTCCCTACGGATGGACTCTGCCTGCTGCAGGACCTGAGCTGGCTTCATGCTCAGCTGCAGCCACCTTGAAATCTGTGGTGGTTTATGAACAAAGGACTCTGCATTTCCATTTTGCCCTGGACCCCACACATTGCGTGGCCACCCTGAACCCAGACGCTAACCCATAGTGCACTGGGGCCCCATGGAGGGCTGGCGGGGGTCCCAGAGGGGCTCAGGGGCAGGAGCGAGGCTGGAGATGAGAGCAAGGTGTGGTCTTTGTCCTGCA